GATTATGTGTTAACTGAGAAGAATAATAGAAAGCAGATTATGGATACGAGAGTTAAAAGAGGATCAGAAATAAATAGTGATCATTACTTGGTAGTAACTAATATTAAGAATGATAAGAACCCAAAATACGAAATAAACGAGAAAACCGATAAGATGAGACAACATGAAACAATAAAATCATACATGCTAACAAACCCAAAAGTGAGAGAAAAATATGAACAGCTGATAAACGCAGAAACAGAAAAAATATTGGCAGACAATGAAAATATTAGCGCGAATCAACTATGGAATATGTTTAAAGAAATAATATTGGAATGTGCCAAGAAGACATGTGGAACAAGTAAAATATTAAACAACAGGAAACAAACAGTGTGGTGGAACGAAGAAATAAAACAACAAGTTCAAAGTAAAAAGAAAAAATGGAAAGTTTACTTAACAAAGAAAACTGAAGAAAGCCTGGAAGAATATAAAAGGCAAAGAAATATTGTTAAAAGCACTATAGCTGCAGCTAAAGAGAAAGCATGGTCGGAATTCGGAACAAAAATGGAAGAAAATTATAAAAGTAATCAAAAATTATTTTATAAAGTACTAAAAACTATGAGAAAAGGGAAAAAGATAGAAACTACTGCAGTAAAAAATGCTCACGGACAGATTTTGACAGACGAAGTGGAAATAATGCAAAGATGGAAAGAATATTTTCAAGAACTACTAGAGGGAGAAGAGATGAGTGATAGACAAGAAGAAACAAACATGAACGAAATAAATGCGAGAGAAAACGAAGTAATAACCATGGAAGAAATGACTCAAGCTTTAAGAAAACTAAAGAATGGAAAGGCGCCAGGTCAAGACAAAATAACATCAGAAATGCTTAAAAATATGGGAGGAAATGGCATGGAAATATTATTGGAAATACTAAACAAAACTTGGAATGAAGAAACGATACCAACAGACTGGGAAATGGGATTGATATTGCCTATATTTAAGAAAGGAGATCAGAAAGATTGTAATAATTATAGAGGAATAATGCTGTTGAGTACTGGAATGAAATTATATGAGCAAATTTTAAATACAAGAGTGAAGAATATAATAGAAATGACAATGACAGAGTCCCAAAGTGGTTTTAGAAAAGGTAGAAGTACGCAGGATCATATATTTACTATTCAGCAAATTATAAATAAGACAAGATTGAAGAGAGGAAATGCCTATATGGCTTTTATAGACTTAGAAAAAGCTTTTGACAAAGTACCGAGAGCAAAGGTGTGGGACATATTAGAGAAGAAAGGAGTAAATAACAAACTGAATAAAGTAATACAGAGTTTATATAGAAATACAACAAATATAGTTATTTATAAAAATATGAAATCGGCAATATTTAAAACAAAGGAAGGACTAAGACAGGGTGGAGGAATGAGCCCTACGCTATTTACGGTGTTTATGGATCACATCATTAAGAAATGTAATGAAAGAACAAAAACTCTATTTGTAGGATACAGAAACTTGCAAGCAGTAAATATTTCAGAATGTGCATATGCAGATGATGTTGTAATTATGGCTGCAAGTGAGAAAGAGTTACAGAAAAATATAGATATGTGGAAAGAAGTATTAGGAGAAAATGGAATGAAAATAAATGTCAAGAAAACAAAAACAATGGCAATAACAGAAGAACAACAGAAAATAAATATACAGATAGATGGAGTGAGGCTGGAACAAGTACAATATTTTGATTATCTAGGGGTATTGATAGAAGGATCAGGAAAACAAGACAAAGAAATAGAAAAAAGAATAGAAAATACAATGAAAGTATACCATAGTATAAATAAAAGCTTCATTAACAAGAGGGAAATATCTACAAAAACTAAAATGAATGTGTATCAAGCAGTTTACAAACCAATTTTAACATACGGGTGTGAGACATGGATATTAACGAGACAACATAAGAGTAAAATTCAAGCAACAGAAATGAAGTATCTGAGGAGAGTGAGAGGAGTAACGAAAATGGATAGAATGAGAAGTGAGCAAATAAGAAAAGATTTAGGAGTACAATCGGTATTAGAATTCATAGAACAGCGACAGCTCAGCTGGTGGGGGCACTTACAACGAATGAATAATAGCAGACAAGTTAAAAGGATATGGGAAGCCAAAATACAAGCTAAAAGAAGGAGAGGAAGACCAAGGGAAACGTGGGACAGCACAGCAGAAAAAGCATTAGAAAATAGAGGCAAGTCATGGCAAGAAGCAAAGCTAATAGCAAGAGACAAAAAGCAATGGAGAAAATTTGTATATAAATAGTTAGGAAGTTAATTATATGAAATTATTTGTAATCCCGACACCTAAGGGTAAAAGGGAATTTGATTATATATATATATATTTAATACTTCTTTTTTATTTTTTAATTTCATTGGGTACTTCTACCACATTGAAAAGGAAAAACAAAAAGAAAAGAAATTTTAAAAATATGTACCAAAATTTGAATTTTGCGCCATTTGTGCGGTAAAGTGTTGTCAACAAAAAAAACAGTTCAGGGTTATTAAAAATGGAGCACGAAAGAACGCGTTTTTGTTGAGCAATATTCTTAAAATAATGACGTTTTGGCAGCTACAGTTCGCAATTTTCGTACAAAATATGGTCGGAATAGTGATTTAACTTCACCAACTGTGAGATTAGTTGAAAAATTCAGGGAGATCTTAGACACTCTGACACTCCTTCAATTAGTCATTCAACACAAAATATCGCAGCATTTCGTGAATGTTGCTTGAGAATCCAGGAACATCAATTCGGCACCGTGGACAAGAATTAGACATTTGAGAAGCTCTCTATAGCGTATTCTCACGAAAGGTTTACATCGTCCTTAATGACAGTCCTATCGACTCAAGAACTGAAACCTACTGACTACACAGAGCGAAGAGAGTTCGTTGAATGGATTATGGAACAAGTGGATGCTGATTTTTCGAACAAAATTATCTTCATATATGAGGCTTATTTTTATCTTGATGGCTTCGTTAATCAACAAAATTGTGGCATTTGGGGTTCAGAAAATCCACGAGCGATTGTTGAGAAGCAAATGCATCCATAACGTGTCACTATTTAGTGCAGATTTTGGGTTGGAAACATCATAAAACCATTCTTCTTCGAAAATGCGGCTGGTCGGGCAATAACAGTTAATAATAAAGATAGCTAATCTTTACATGATAATCCAGTTTTTTGTACCTAAATTCGATATCGATATAGACGATATGTGGTTTCAACAAGACGGTGCCACATGCCATACAACCCAAGAAATAATTCGATTACTGCACGAATCATTTCCTGGTCGTGTAATTTCCGGTTTTGGAAATCAGAATTGCCGCCCAAATCATGCAATTTAAGGAGATTGCACTTTTTTAGGGGCTTTTCGAAGTCTTAGGTTTATGCCAACAAACCTACGACCGCCCACGACCACTCACGCCTTGAAGGAGGAAATTAAGCGCTGTATCAACGAAATTCAGCGGCATTTATGCAAGCAATTATGCAGCAATTATGTAAAATGATCATGGAAAATGTCGACAAAAGAGTGTATAAATTTCGTGGAGGCCATTTACCCAATATTTACAATTTTTAATTAAATATCTGTTTTCTACCAAAATTACTTCTTGCCTGAATTTTGACACACCCTTTATCAGACAAGTTGTTAACGTTTCGAAAATTCCTCTGCTTTCGTTCTCAAAACTCATATGATGTTATAATGTTTATAGTGTAATCGTAAACAANTCGACTCAAGAACTGAAACCTACTGACTACACAGAGCGAAGAGAGTTCGTTGAATGGATTATGGAACAAGTGGATGCTGATTTTTCGAACAAAATTATCTTCATATATGAGGCTTATTTTTATCTTGATGGCTTCGTTAATCAACAAAATTGTGGCATTTGGGGTTCAGAAAATCCACGAGCGATTGTTGAGAAGCAAATGCATCCATAACGTGTCACTATTTAGTGCAGATTTTGGGTTGGAAACATCATAAAACCATTCTTCTTCGAAAATGCGGCTGGTCGGGCAATAACAGTTAATAATAAAGATAGCTAATCTTTACATGATAATCCAGTTTTTTGTACCTAAATTCGATATCGATATAGACGATATGTGGTTTCAACAAGACGGTGCCACATGCCATACAACCCAAGAAATAATTCGATTACTGCACGAATCATTTCCTGGTCGCGTAATTTCCGGTTTTGGAAATCAGAATTGCCGCCCAAATCATGCAATTTAAGGAGATTGCACTTTTTGGGGGCTTTTCGAAGTCTTAGGTTTATGCCAACAAACCCACGAACGCCCACGACCACTCACGCCTTGAAGGAGGAAATTAAGCGCTGTATCGACGAAATTCAGCGGCATTTATGCAAGCAATTTTGCAGCAATTATGTAAAATGATCATGGAAAATGTCGACAAAAGAGTGTGTATAAATGGCGTGGAGGCCATTTACCCAATATTTACAATTTTTAATTAAATATCTGTTTTCTACCAAAATTACTTCTTGCCTGAATTTTGACATACCTTTTATCAGACAAGTTGTTAACGTTTCGAAAATTCCTCTGCTTTCGTTCTCAAAACTCATATGATGTTATAATGTTTATAGTGTAATCGTAAACAATTATCTACTTTTTATTGAGATATTTGTGATAATGAAAAACTAAATGTATAAAATTAACTCATTGCTGATCTTTTTAGAGCAAGAAATTACTTATGAAAATTTATTGCCCGTGAGAGCAAGAAATTACTTGTGAAAATTTATTGCCCGTGCTCTGCTTACTACTTCTGTCCTCGATATTTTTATGATTTTAGACGAAGACGACGGTACGTTTAGATCAAGCTAATTTTCGTAAACCCCCTACTGTGTAATCTTCTATTCAAAATAATGTAATACGACACAATAATGTGTCCTATTCTTAAGTTGCATGGAAAGAAATAAAACAAAATATTTACACATTTTTCTTTTTTTCTATAACACAAATTATTGAAACTCATTATTTTTCTATAAAAGCGACAATAATTGATTTGCTATCATCCGAATATCAGAAGCATTTTTTGCAGTCAGCTTCTCAGTTTTCAATATATTTACCAAACATTTCACTTCACCTTTTATGCTGCCTATGGCATCAGCAATATTTCCATCCTGTTTATTTTCATCAGAAATCTTTGGGGCTTCCACAGGGTTACACCATTTCGAAGGTTTCAACTCAGGTTTTTCCGCAAGCAACGGTTCTTTCTTACGAAAATCTATTTCCTGCACATCAACGGAACTGTCGTCGTATCTCATTTTTTTTCTTCTTGGAGAATTAGTTTCATTTTTCCACTTGATACATTCGTGTTGGAAGTAAATATTACCAAGTGATGCGAAATATTCCCTATCAAACTTGTTTGCAGCTACATTCCTTTGCAAATATTGAAAAACAACGTTGTGCATTTCTTTAGACAATCGTAAAACATTTTTCACCACGTCTTGCTTCTCATTTATAGCAAAATTTTGGATAACCTCTAATGTCTCTTGCTTGATCACGTTAGACTCATTCATTAAAAGATTTTGGCAAATTATATCTGCTACCAAGGTGTGGAGTTTGATGAAAGTATCTTGTTGGTTTTCGTAAGGATTATTGCTTAGAATGGATAAAAAGTTGCACGCTAGTAGTTTAAATGAATCATTACACGACAGAATTCTCAGTTGAGACAACACCTGAAATAAAAATTCTTGTTCAGGGCGACAGTAACAATGCCACTATTAGTATTTTACACAGGCTGTGTTACGGTGACGGCCCATTAGAATATTTTAGAGACTACTTCGATTTAAATTTTAAAAATTTAGGCCCTATGGTTTTCGGGAGTGCTCTCTTCAAATAAAATAATGGCATTGTTGTAGCACTGTATATTTTTGCATATTTGGATTTTACGCGTAACTATAGGGGGACTTTTATCAGTTTCCCTATATCTATCTTTAACGATCTTCGAGATATTTCAAAACTTTCAAAAAAAGTTACTAATTCAAAATTGCCTTTTTTACAGAGTGCAAGCTGAATTGATATTTGAAAGAGAGATAGGGATGCCTATTCTTTGTTACAGTTATTTTAAAAACTATTTAATTTTAGACAGGGTAGTGAAAATTTATTATCGAATTTGCTTAACTATGAACTGCCAAAACTTGGTTTTTCCAAATGGAACACCCCATATATTTAATCAAAAACTGTTGTAAAATTTTACCCTCTGTCTATCCATATACAGGGCCGGAAAGTCCCCATGGTTCATTGGCCGTTACGTGAGAGCGATAAAGAAAGTCATAGTAATCCGTGCGATAGAGAAAGATGGCTATAATGAAGGCGTCTAATAGTCACATAAGATCCACTTCTTATTTGTGGAAGGGCGAAATGGGCGGTGACTATTAGACGCCTTCATTATAGCCATCTTTCTCTATCGCACGGATTTCTATGACTTTCTTTATCGCTCTCACGTAACGGCCAATGAACCATGGGGACTTTCCGACCCTGTATCCCTATAACGATCTCTCTTAATTTTTCTGTTATTGACGGTTTTTGTGATAAGTAATTAAAATGATCCAATTTCTTGCGAGGATTTGAAATTGGTAGCAAACTTAAAAACAAAACAACCAATATGTCATGTCATCATTTACTGTTAATCTGACAGCGATACTTAGTTAAATACTTAAATACTTCTTTAGTTAAATTTAGCTAAGTACTTTTTTTAGTTATCTAATATGTATTTTCATAACTTCTCTGTCTTTCTGTTTATTGGTGGTAGTAAACGATGTAAAATTAAATTAACTGTATAATAAATAAATGAGAGATATCAATACTTCAGCTTACACGATGTAAAAAATAGACAATTTTGAATTAAGCTATCGAAAAACAACTTTTTTTATAGAATTGAAGTATCTCATTAGAGATAGATATAGAGAAGCTTGATAAAAGTCCCTCTGAAATTGCGTGTAGAATCCAAATATGCAAAAACATACAGGGTGTTCCATTTAAAATAAGTGCTACAACATTGGCATTATTTTATTTAAAGAGAGCACCTCCGGAAACCCCAAAGCCTAAATTTTCCAAATTGAAATCAAAGTAGTCTCTGGAATATTCTAATGGGCCGTGACCGTAAGATGTAAATGCCATTACCAAAAAATATTGGCAAAGAAAAAAAGTTAAAGCTATTCAATTTTCTGATGTTTTTAAAATAAATTCATAGTTAATTTGTGACGGATGATAATAAAAGTGATAGAAGTATCATACCAACTTTTTTTTATTTTGGAATTGCTTTGTACATTTATGTTAAAGTACAGACCGACACAAATAAGTTTGCGACTGAGATAGCTCCGCCCACAATGCGCATTCGACAAAACTCCAGGTAGCCGCTTATGCTGACGAATGACGATGTAGTTTTATCGCAACATAAATATTTTAAATTCTTGCTGATATAATTGAATTCGAAAAGGATGAGGCCTCAAAATTTTATGTTTATATTTTCTGCTAATACAAAAACCTTGTTTTTTATCAATAAATTTTCCTTAGCTACCACAGACCCTAGCTGATCTGATAAAAATAAATAAATCTTATATACAGTGCGTCCCAGAAGTAACGCAAAAAATTCATATTTTATTTTGTGTTGAGTTTTCACAAAAACGCTAAAACACGTCAATTAGTAAATTAGAATTGTCGTTTTGTCACGTTGCTTAAACCTTTTTTGCGCTATGTTTCATAAACCTATGACGTCATCGACATTTTTTTAAATAGCACCACCTAATTTTTTAAACATAAATGGATAGTCCTTTTGAAGGGAAATACGTCGATATAAGGTTTGGCCTACTTTAGTTTGACAGGAGCGAAAAAAAAGACAACGATTGGAATGAACATGGTTTGAATTAATAACAAAAATAGGTATCACAAACTTATGCGCGAACAGTGCACATGTTTTTATGTAGATTGGGTAGGTACACCCGATCACAGTGGCTATGTAGGCATTGTTCTAAAGACGACAGTTAGCAATAGTGCCTCATATCATTGTCACAGTTACAAATACCATAACTTTACATTACGATGGTGTTGTGTTTAAATGAGAAACAAAGAACTGAAATCCTAATTATGGTTGAATACGGAGATATATAGTAGGATCATATTCGATGCAAAGTAATAAATCATTGCCTGTCAAGGGAACCAATGATGTAGGCTTTTAAGGGTTTTACAAATTGAATAATTTCTTTATACATTATGAAGGGACGAGGGGATCAGTTTGGGTCTGGCACCCTTGTTCCTACAAAAATTCCTTTATTCTCATAAACTATTTATTTTAAATGCAATTTATTATAAATCCAATTTGTTTCCTAAATTCCACATATGTACTACATTTTACCTTTGTACGCGCCACTGTTGTTTACTTGTTTTTTGGAAGAGCTCTCTAATTGACGGCAAAGCTCGTCAGGTTAGTATTTGACGTATAACCGACCAGTTCGTACACTCGATGCACCTGGGCGACTACAACTACTACCAGAACACAGTGCGTATGCAGCGGTATTTCAGATTTTACATTGAATTTCATTTTAAATTTGAAATGATTTATCTTACGCCTCCTAAAAATGAAGACACGATTTTCCTTTGATAAAAGACCGACAATTTTTTGCTCTACTTTGCATCGAATACGATCCTACTATAGGATCCGTAGTTATGATACATACTGACATATCAGTACATAAAAACGTACCTACAATCAACCAAAACACAAAACATCCCCAAATTTCCATTTTATACTGTGGCACTGTTCTCGCATCAGTTTATGATACCTACTTTTGTTGTTATTTTAAACCATGTCCATTCCAGTCATTGGCTTTTTTTTCCGCTCCTGTCAAAGTAAAGTAGGCCAAACCCTATATCGACGTATTTCCCTTCAAAAGGACTATCCATTTATGTTTAAAAAATTAGTTGGTGCTATTTAAAAAAAAATGTCGATGACGTCATAGGTTTATGAAACATAGCGCAAAAAAGGTTTAAGCAACGTGACAAAACGACAATTCTAATTTACTAATTGACGTGTTTTAGCGTTTTTGTGAAAAGTCAACACAAAATGAAATATGAATTTTTTGCGTTACTTCTGGGACGCACTGTATATACAAAGATAAGTAATAAGACCATCACTACAACTAATAAGACAATCACTACACCGCTATCCAAAAATAGGCGCATACGTCTCATTTGACTCACTCTTGATAAGTTACAGCACAGCTTCCCATGTTTAACTGCATCTAGACTTTATTTTTGAAATAACTAACAGCGTGTAACACAAGTACCAACTATTTTACCAATTCTGGAAAATACAGAAAAGTAAGAAAACAACACAAAATTTCTTTACCAGAATTAGCACTAAGTTGGATATGTTTTTACCCGCACAATTTCACTGTTTAGGCAAATAAGAGCTTTTGTAAAAGTGATGCTAAAATTTAGCTAACAGGTCTAGAATCAGTATAATTAAAACTTATGTAATGAGCAAAATTGCATATTTAATTTAACATTTGATGTTCCAGTATATACATGATGTCCCCTAATTAGTGTGCAATACTTTAGCACTAGATTCTACGATAAAAAATAAGATTATTTTTTCTTATAAACGAGGGTCGAAAATGCTTCCTAAGGAAACTACGCCCCCCTAAAAGGGGACTAAGGAGATTATATTTTTCAAATTATTTTCAGAAACAGTTAACGTATCATTATGAGTTTTGGTATGTTGGACACTCAATGAATGTTCTAACGAACTACACGAAAACTGTTTAAAAATTTTAGACAGGATGTCTCAGGCAGGGGTAAAATGCGACCCCAATTGTTTGCATGTCAATATTTTCAAATTTATTTATTTAATCAACAAACTATGATATGAGATTTTCAGAAAAGAAATGTACTCTTGATTTACTTCGATAAAATGCTTCGTTTTCGAGAAAAATCGATTTTAAAGTTTTATTACACAATCTCAAGAATGGAAAAGGATTACATGAACAGGTAGGTAGGCTATGAAAACAAACGTTTGTTTACTTGAATTAATTTGGCAGATTATTAAACTTAAATTTTTGCTTTCACTTTAAGGTGCTGTATTGAATATTAAATAAAATCTAAAGCAAAAAATGCAGAATTTTAATAGACACCAAGGGAATCCCAACGGAGATACTGTAATCGGAGGCAACCTGGACGTAGAATATTTGCTACGGTCCATAGACGATTAACGGAAAATGGATCTTTTAGAAAATGCGCGGTCAAGGAAGACCACCAAATAATTTTGAAAATACCTTAAATCAATTTGATGATAATTTTAATATTTTAAAATGTAAACATCAAACTATGATTGAAATGGGTTTTTTACAAAAAAAATGGACCCTAGATTTACTTCTATAAAATGCTTCGTTTTCGAAAAATATCTATTTAGATTTAGAAGTTATATCTCATTATATCTCGTTATATCTTCATTTCAAACTACAAATTTAGAAACGGTTCTTGCATCATCCAAATCACAAACCGTTTGTAGACTGTTGCCATCCGCGCATGCGTAGTAGAAATAGTTTGCCAACTATCAGTAATTTACTACAGAAACAAACCTAATATGCACAGTAGTCAACTGAAGTTTTGTAATAAATCAGATAATAAAGAAATTATTAAAAACTAAAAAACACGTTACAATAATCGCTCAAAATAA